GGAGTTGCTGTAGGTGATCTGGAAGTCTGGTTTTGAGGCTTGTTTACATGTCTTCTCATTTGGACAGGGGTATAGGGGTGGTGCCGCTGGCCCCCATGGCTCACCTCCTTTGAGCTGGGAGCAGTGCTATGGCAGCCCAGAAGCTTCCTCCTCTGTGCTGGGAGTGGTAATACCAGGAGATTTCAAGTAAGTTCATAGAGGTTTCAATCTATAATCAGCTGGCTCCAACCCAGAGATGGAAAACAAGCATCACAGAGGAGAAACAACATGGCACACCCAAGATAGCAAAGGCAACAAGGGAGGATTCTTGTATTTTAATTGAAGTTTTTCTTCTGCTGGAACTTAGACGTGAATTTATGTGTTTCTCTTTATTGTTTATAAAGAACATACATTTCTGGCTGTATTAAAAAACATGACTATCTAGATTATAATCATTTTTTAGATTTTTAGATCAATTTAGATTATAATCATTTTTCTGGGCACATATGTCACCAAAAGAAGGCCTACTTTGAAAAACAGATGGTAAGACTTTTGAAAACAAGAAAGCAGTTCCCTGGGCTGATGTAGCAAACGAGATGTGAAGAAGTGAAGGTCTCAGCAAAAAGGTAGGAGTCAGAAGATGTAAGAGCAAGGGTATGAGAAGAGAGATGACATTAATGAAGTCCTGGGACCAGAGAATCAGTAATCAGCCACACTCCTCAGACAGTGTTGTGAGGGTCCACAGGATCACTTCATAAAGCATAAAGGTTCTCTCAAAGCTCTGTCTCTCTAGTCCATCTGGCAAACATTACTGTCATATGCATCAAAAATTTATCATATTTTTTCACCATAAGCACTTCCACATTGCCCACTGCTATTACCAATGACTCACAGAATTCCTATGACTTGCTCATAGAACAAAATTCATCTCTATTTTTCCTCTAACTTATTTTACTTAGTAAAGTTCAATATATTTTCATGCAAATATTAGAACCTATGCCTTCTACTTTCCCTTTGAAATGCTCTTGGCCCTTGCAATGATAGCTGTGTAACTCCAAAGTGCATGAAACCATTACAATCTAGAAAATCCTTTTTTATTTTGGATATGATTTTATTTAAAACTTATCTGCTGGCTATCCAGTGGATCTCTATGTACAGAATTATTCTCCTCAAGGATACATTTGTTCCATTACAATTTTGTGAGAGGCTCAGATTGAGTTTATAGTTCCCACCAAAGAATGGTGTCCATCTGGTAGAACATCTGGTAGAATCAGTAAACTTTAGGGCTAATAAAGACCTTAAATGTTGCTTGCTACAACCCCTCAGTTTCCAGAAACAGAAATGAAGGTTCAGACAAGTGAAGGCCTTCTCAAAGGACACTCTTCAAATTAGCTACTGAACTAGTGCTTTGGTAACCCAGAGCCCTGTTTAGTGTTCTTTTATGCCACATTATTTTTAATCTTCTCACTAGCCTAGTGTGAAAGTCATTTGTGATGTTCACCAATATTTTCTTTGGAGAGAAAAGGAAGTTAAGTGTGGCCATGTGATTTGTTTTGGCCAAGGAAATGTGAGAAGTGAAGTGTTTTGCTTCCACTTTAAGAACCAGTATATAATTTGCCAAGATCCCTTTCTGCTGCCATGGCAACAGGCAACATACTAGATAATAGAGGTTCCACCAGCTGAGGACCATGTAAAGCAGAGCCTCAGATGACTCATAAAGGATACATAGCATGAGTGAAAAATGAATCTTCATATCCTTGAGGGATTTGGGAGTTGTTTGTTACTGCAACATCACCTAGTCTATCCCTCCTGGTAAGTCTGAGCTTCATATCATTCCCATGATGCACCTCAATGCACAAAGACTTAAGAATGTACTCAATGCAGAAAAGCAGAATACAGCTCTATAAAACATTCCAAATTCCATATATCACCAGGATTCTTTCTTCCTCTTGGCTTATATTAAGGGTGAGGGATGTACTTCTTTACAAAGAATGAGTATTTTGATAGCTTCTCATTCTTTGAAATATTCTGCAGGTAAGTGCCTGATAGAAATTTCCTTTAGACTTTGAGTTAGAAACATAATGAATTAGATTATTTTAATGAGTTCAGTACATTATGACTTCAAATGCATCATCCTGTACTTATGTACTCATACATGTGCAAAAATCTTGGTTTTCTTGGAAGCTTTTTATCTAGATAATTCTCACTCCTTTTAAGGTTTTCTAACTTTATAAGCACCAATGTTATGTCAAGATGATGCTTCAAAAGCATGATTTGACATTTCAAAGTAAGTTATAAAATGAATGAAAGATTTTCAAGAGTAGTAAGAGAACCTAGGTGACTTTGGATAAGTCACTCAGCCTCCCTAGGACCATTTCTCCCTTTGTGAAATGAGGACAGTAATAGTACATGCCTCCCAGAGTTATTGTGAGAATGAAGGTGGGCCATTCACACCCTGAATGGTTCATAATAAGTGCACAATGTTAACTGCACATTATCTGAGCCATAGAATACTTAGAAATCTAGAAAGTCAGCTCAATTCAGACCTTTCGCTTTCCAAGAAGGTTGAATTCAGAAACTATTTGGTCCACAAATTGTGGTTTTCTGGAAAAGATGTAGAAACTATTGTCCTGCCTCCCTGATGAAGGTTTTAACACACTTTTGAAAACAGACATATGGATAAGAGGGTTATTATTGCTAACAGTTTAGGAAAAATTTCCAAATGCCCCACCAAGGGCATAGATCCAGCTGAGAAAATCTTTAAAGGACTATGCTCATTTATACTTTTTCCATTTTAAACACTTGGACTTTTTCAGATTTACACCAAAGCTCACAAAATGCTAAAGCTTAAAGGAGAACTGAGAGCTTCCAAGGGACTGAAAGGTGAGGTAAGGCTCCTTCCTGACTTGTCTACATACCTGGAGTTGAATCTTTGTTACAAGGGACTTCTTTTCAAGTTTCATGACTTAGAATTCCAGGTATAAACACCACAAAATACCACAGACAGAAAAGAGCAGCAGAGCATAGTGTTCTTAAAAGCCCAGACCCAGCTAGGTGGGTCTGGGTCTGTATCCAATGGTAAAATGATATTGGGAATGTTGTTTACTCTTTCCGAACTTTCTTTATCTTTCCCAAAAATATGAATGATGAGCATCTATTTCAAAGACTGGCTAGGAGGATTATAAGACACTGCATGTAAGAAGCACCTAATATTCAAGAGAGGCAGATGAAAACAACACTGAGATTCCACCTCACCCCACAAAGAATGGCTGCTATCAAGAAATCAATCAATAACAAATGCTGGCGGGGGTGTGGGGAGAAAGGAACCCTTTTCCATTGTTGATGGGAGTGCAGACTGGTGCAACCACTGTGGAAATCAGTATGGAGATGCCTCAAAGAACTAGGGCTAGAGGTCCCATTTGACCCAGCTATTCCCCTGCTGGGTATCTTCCCCCAAAAATTAAAAGAATCATACCAAAGTGATATATGTGCACCCATGTTTATAGCGGCACAGTTTGTAATAACTAAAGCTTGGAAACAGTCCAAGTGCCCATCAACTGGAAACTGGATAAAGAAGATGTGGTTTTTTTATAAAATGGAGTACTACTCAGCCATAAAGAAAGAAAAACTAGAGACATTTATAGCTAAATGGATGCACATTGAGGCCATACTCTAAAGTGAAATAAATAGGACACGTGTAAATACCGAAGTTTCTCTACTGTGAGAAACTGAAAGTGTAAATAAGGATTAAAATGACTAAAATGAATAATTGATAATTTGAAATAAGAAAAGGTCCAAAGGTGTAGGGGTGGTGGGAGGGGAAGGGAAACAAGGGAAAGGAAAAATTATGAGAAAAGAAAAAAAAAGGAAATGAAATCTATGTAAATAGAGAAGGGTAGAGGGGGTGAAGGGCTCACAGGTAATGGGGAAAAAAATAAGAATCAAGATACATCATGTACAGGTACAAGCAACCAATGATAATATAAACGCATTGTATACCTAAAATGTACCAATAAAAGAATTTTTTTAAGAAAGAAGCACCTAGAAGGAAGCTCCCCCACTGCCATCCCAGGCTCCTAGGGCAGAGAAGCTGAGCCAGTCCCAGAACCCAGAAGGAAGCTCCCCCACCGCCATCCTGCGCACCTAGGGCAGAGAAGCTGAGCTGCACGGGCACCAGAAGCAACCTCCACTGTGGAAATGAGAAGACACATAAACATACCTCAAATATAGACTTCCGGATCACCTACAGCAACCCCAAAGGGAAAAGAGATGGAACACTCTGATACTCAACCACCTGGACTCTCTGAACTGGCAACAAAAGAGGATCTGGGAAAAATGAAATCAGAAATAATTTCTCA